ACCCTATACTAACTAAAGTCGATAGTTTACTATATTATTAGAAGAATACCTTAAGGAAGATATCTATCTAATAGAACTATTACTAATTAAACCTAATATACTAAGTAAGGATCTAGGAATTATAGAGAGAGCTTAAACTATAAATAGATAGAGTATAGAATTTAATATAATCTAAGAAATTACTACTAAAGGAAGTAACCCCTAATAGATATTATAGGATAGACTATTACTTTTTAATAACTAACTTAAAATCCTAGATAAGGGAGATCTATATATAAGACTTCTTAATAAGATATATCGATAACTACTAGTTACCTATCTAAGGATTAAGAAACTTAAGAAATTAATATCTAAGAGATATTATTAGCTAGAATAGGTAACTAATATAAAATACTATATTAATAATTATCTAATCTATAAAAGGACTAAAGTATAAAGAGACTAAACTCCTAGCCTATTATATCTATTACCTATACCTAAATAACCCTAGTAGTATATTATAATAGACTTTAGATTATTCCTAAAGGACTATTATAGATATAATACTATCTTTATAGTTATAGACTATCTAAGTAAAAGACTAGTATTAATTCTTTACTAAAAAGAGATAGATATAAAGATAATAGTATAACTCTTTATAGACTATATTATTAGGATTACTAGTATCTTAGATATAATTATCTCTAATAGAAGTAGATAGTTTATCTCTAAATTCTAGACTAAATTCTATTAGATCCTTAGGATTAAAAGAAAGTTATCTATAGCTTACTATCTTTAAACTAATAGATAAAATAAAATTATAAATTAGTATATAGTATAGAGACTCTAACTATATATAGAATAGAATTAGGATAATTAGTTAGAATACCTACTAATAGTAGATTTTATAGTATTAATTCTCCCTTAGAATATAATAAAAAAGTCTCTATTCTTTATTAAGAGAGACTATAAACTAGTAATATCCTTTAACTAGAGGGACTAAGTAATATTAACCCTAAATAAGTAAGGAATAGTAGATATACTCTCCTATCTATAGGATATCTAAATAGAAACGAAGAATTAGATTAAGAAATCCTAGTAATTATAGATTTAGTAAGTAAATAAATACTACTAAAAAGAAGACTTTAGTATTAGTAACTATATTTTTATAATAATAAAGGACTAGTAATAAGATAGACTAAGTTAGAAGCTCTTCTATCTTATAAGTAGCCTATATAAGATTACCGAGAAAGTAGGATATTCCTATTGCCTTAAACTCCTAGAATCGATTAAGGTATACCTAATATTCTATTTAAATAAACTCTAAAGAGTAGCGACTACTAAACCATTACTTAGATAATACCCTAACCTATTACTACCACTTAGGATTAGTAAAACTAATAAGTAGGAAGTTGATAAGATTCTTAATACTAGGATATACTATTGAAAACTATAATACTATATTCAGTAGTTAGGATATAACCTAGACCTATAATAGTACCTAGTAAGTAACTTTAAGAATACTCCCGAAAAGATTAAGTAGTTCTATAATTAGTACCTATAGAAGCCTAGATTACCGATATAATTATAAGAATAGACCGATACTATAGATAAGGATAGATTCTTAGACGACTATATTAACGATAATAAACCTATATTTAGGGGCTAAATGTATTCTTAGCCGGGGGTTATATAACGATCTAAGAGGATTGTACTTGCCTAACGGGGTAGGAGCGGTCACGTCCTCGTACTTACCGCAGGAACGACTATACCCTCGCACCTTCCTAAAAGAACGAACGAGAATTAAGTGAGATAAACGTAAGAGTATAAGAAGGGAAGAATACACACTTAGATAGTTTCTCTTTTTCCTTTCTTCCTCGTACTTAGAATTTGGTTGGAATTGCACTCTTTTCCTTTAAATTGAATTGGCTCGTAATACCTGGTGTCGTCAGATCAATCTCGTATACTTCGTACAGCGAGTTCTTTCCAACAAGCAGAGGTCACGATTGGTCGAAATTGTGAACAAAACGTGCCTAACCGTTTTCCAGGCTTGAATGGGTAAGAGATCGGCTTTTCGTGGTGGACTGACCGCTGATGTGGACTGTGGCTGAATGCCAATCGCCACCCGATCGGCGTAAGGAGTAGCCCTACAGAGCCATCAGGAAAATGAAGGCGTACATGTACAGTACCCTCAATACAGGATGTTGTACGGAGGCAGGTCAAGGTCTTGACTGTGGTGTCTTTACACCACTAACCATCGAACTCATATTAACTAACGCTCAACATGTTTGAATACTTTCGATAGCCTTCTCAGTCTATTCATCTATACTATGTATACTATGTATCACTGATCATAGTGGTATGCTATAGTTGCCTAGGATCGAGCTCTGTTGTACCTAGCTAGGGTTGTCATCAGATTCAATCCCAGCTTGATGGACTCCGCAAAGTGTCCCCGGACAAACCGATTTCTCGGTCTGACGCTTGAAGTCAGTTTTGGCTCGGTTCCTGGAGCAAACCAGTCATTTTGAGAAGTTAGTAACTATGTGAAGGATAAACAAATTGGTCCCAATGCGCGTAAGAAAATTGAGAAGAAATGTGCGCTGGTTTTCATTCTGAGGGGGCGTTATAAGATTTTCCTCTCAATGATGGGAGCTGTATACATACATGATTGTGGCTGGTTAAAGCAGCAGACGGAAATGCCACGAAAGTCGAGCCTAGGGCCACGCAGTTTCGACCAAATTAACCATATCGTCATCCTTGTCTTCCCCAGGCCCAGCCTCCCCGTGCTAGAAAACCACCCGATGTGCTGGCATGGAATACGGGCCTTTCTTTGCTGGAATACTTTGTATACTTCCGTGGCTTGCTCTTCGACTGCCGATCCTAGCGACTATTGCCGATAGCTCTACAGAGTAGTTTGGTCCGGGATTTGGGTTGGGCTCCACCCAGGGCGATCATTGTTGCTGTCTGACAGGTGGATGTTGTTCTCTACTCCGTACCTTGTGACAGGGGCTGGAGCGTAGAGACCTTTAAACCTCTGACATCATGTTTAATTTGAGTCATCTGACTTGCTTTTTCCTCTCAGCCCTATGACGTGGGGAAACGGAGATTTGACAGCTAAACATACGATTTTTTATGAGTATAATATCACTACATAGTAGGTAGTATTTCACGTATGAGAAGTGGAAATAGCAGAACTAGGCAGCAATGAACATTCGTATACATACAGGAAGATCCTAGAAAGATGCGGGCGATGCAAAGTTTACTATTTGACCTATCAGTGGGCCATGGATACTATGAATAGCAACAACGACAAGAATGAGAATATGTATGGAGTATACATACCCACTTCGGAGAGCCAAGAGAGAAGATCAAATTTGGAATAATGCTGCCTACAACGTCCCCGAAAAAGAAAATCACACCAATGCAATCCCATCCACAACACCCGAGTCAAAATGAAAGTATCATCTGTTACAATAGTTTCGATAAAGAAGACTACGTATTCTTCTGCTCCAAGTGCCATGCCATCACATCACGAAATATCCCCTTAGCGCCAGTCTCGATAGTATCACCATGGCAAGGAATCAAACGATCAAAGTCCCACTGATCAATCCTTTTCATAGACTCAGTGAACGCCGCCCGATCCTGTGACGAGAGAATATACCATGCAAATCGCCTCTGCCATGTAGCCGGTGGCTTGGTGGACAACAGCGGCATAATCAGCTTGGTAAGGAAATTAGTCCCGGCTTCGGGAGTCCTGGAATACTGCTCCTTAGCGGGCAGGTTAAAGAGCAGATCCGCCTCGATGACTGTGCGTGTGGGCTTATGGAAAAACACCAGCTCACGCGACCCGTGACCATACACATACTCGCTCTCAAACTCGGCATCGAACTCCTTCGAGATCGACCGTGGCAGTTGATCCTCCTTTTTGAATACGTGCTTGAACGGGGTATCCTTGAATTCCGGGTTTGATTGTCGCTTCTCGTATAGACCCTCCGGAGCTAGGATCTCTGCTTGTGGGTATGTGTTCTTCCACGGGGTGAGGTTGAGGTGATGTTCGATATCTGGCGCCGTGATGTATTTGACGTTTCCGCCGAGGGACTCGACTGTCTCGCGGACTTCAGACGTTAGGCCGACGGGAGAGAATACTGCGAGGGAGCCGCTGGCAAGCTTGACTGTCGCATGCAAGAACAGTCAGCATAGATCTTAAACAAGGACCCCCATGGGCTTGAAATCACTGCACATCATCCCCTGTCCCCAGGTGTATCATGCGCCTGGTAGGTTGGCTCTGTAGAGTCGGCACTCACCCAATGTCCCTCGCCCGCCGAACTGCAGGCGTCCGAACCGTGCAAAAGGAAGACTCATGGTCACGATATCTGGTGTCACATGGCGAATTACCATAGTCGCCGAAGGGTTGGCTGGAAAGAGCTGTGGCATTTTGGCGGCTTTCCTGATTTTGTTTGTGTTTTCCCTGGCGTTGGATGTCTCAGTTGATGTGTCTTGGAGCTACAGATCTTCAAGTCCTTGCAGTAACAAATTAGAGAAATTTTCAATTCTTAAATATTAAACAATTGAAGAGTAGGGATCAGTCTTCAGAAGTTCGCTGGGAAGCCAGACAGCCTGATAATGACGTAGTTATGAACCTGAGCTTAGTTATCCGCTTTGTCAGAGTGGACGGTGGTACGGCCCGCCTGGGCAGCCCTGGAGGGTCCAGGCCTACATAGTTGTTGTCTTAATAGCTCCGTATTTATGTACTCCGTAGTTATGTACATATAGGTGGCTTACATTTTGAAATAGATCTCGGGCATATATCCTATCTAAGTAAGGAGTATAGGTCTATCGTTGTGGATTTCCAATTTGTGTCTTTACAGGTCGCACTCGTGATTGTGCTAGATGCCACAGAATACGACATATTCAAAGTATAAAGCTAGATTATTAAATTCATCGAGAAATACAAGTCAAAAGATCTAGGGGTATCTTGCAAAACACACATCGACTCGTGGAATCGTGTCTTCAGAAGAAGCTTAGACATACCAACTTGTGCCAGTCTCTTGCTCCTCCTCTTTTCGGTGGGGGATGATGGAGTCCTTAATCTTGAAAACATCGATGATTTCGTGCCACGTATCATGGTCCAGGCTAAAAACCGCCTGATGTTTTTGCACGCCTTTCTTTTGGGCCTCACTGGGGGCGAACGGCGCGGACGCATCTGTCAACCTATTAGTGCTGTATCAACCAGTCATGTTGAAAAATACTCACGCAAGGTCGGCAAATCACGACTATCTGTTTGTACACCCACTGTGCCATCTCGCACAAGGAAGCTCACGTAGAACAAGTTTTCCACACTTTGCCCGAAAGAATGTGGGTTGATACAGAAGCGAAACAAAGGAATTCCTCCGTCGTCCGCTACGCTATGCTTGTCCATGATTTTTTGTGCTTTCTCTGTTGTGAGATTGACTTCGTTGCGAAGCTCTGTCTCAACTGCATGCTGACTGAGACGCTGCCTCGTGGCAAGCAGCTTGTTGATCTCGGAACAGATCTGGGTCAGATTTGTGCTGTCCTGTTGACCAAGATCCTGCTGTGCCATTTCTCGAGGTGCCACGGCTTGCGACGGATCAATAACCTCTGCTGCTCTTCGCTGTGTCATTTGCCGCGTACGCTTCTGTACTGACAGCGGCCCCAGCAACCATCCGGACACGGCCGGACGAGCATTGCTAGGAAAGCAGGCCGATCGGCCAAGCGTGTCCCAATTCATCGCATCACCATCATCATCTTCGTCACTGGCATCGGGGTCTCTTTGGCTTCGACCAAGACGCCCTCGGCGTCCCTGTGTTGAAGCCGTCGCATTGTTTGGGCCGCGACGCATGAACGATACACACTTAGAGACAAACTCGTCTACATCAATACCAGCAGAGGTGTCGCCGAGAGCGAGCTGAGTGGCTTTTTTGTGCGTTAGATCGGCGGTGTTGACCAGGATGCGCGAATCGAGCGTGGCGTCGGCGGTCTGCTTCACTTTGGCGTAGAATTGATTTGCTTGTTCAACTATATTGAGGATACCATCATTCCCAGGCTGCATGAGCTCGCCCCGCGTATCTTCGTGGACGTGTTAGAGCACCATTACCCGAGTCTCAAGTCCAGCCAAAGCAACTTACCATTTAGCTCCCTACCCAGCTCTCGAAGTCCCCTCCGTACAATTCTCCGTTCATCGGGGTCCTGATCAGGGTCATAGTATCGTGTGTCACTGCTGGTTCGTTGAGACGATGCTTGCGACTGCCCAGATCGGGCAGACTGAGCAGATCGAGCAGACTGGGTATTTGAGGGGTGGTCGGTTAACCGCCGTCGTTTACCCTGTGCATGCGGTGGCATCGCAACGGTAGTTCTCTTATTATTACCTTGATACCGATTTTCTTTATCAGAAGTAGATGAGTCTGGTGATATTGATGATGTTGGGCCGGGACCTGGGGTGTTTGCTTCGTCCAGATTTGTGTGAATGAGACGTGCCATACTCGATCAGCAGTCAGTGCGAGATGATATGAGAGTGGGAACAAAGAAAGTTTAACAAAGAAAAAAGTGGGCAACTAATCGAGTACAACTATACACGGTAGCCCAATTTAGACAAAGAGTATACCTCGAAATACATAGAGGAAAAAGACGTGTGGCTCCATTTAGTGATCGCGAACGCCTTGTCGCGTCGCGTAGACCTTCCACGTGACCTCCCCACGTCGGGTTGCTTATCGGCCATGACGCAGCGACCTGTTGCTCTCTCCAAACGGGGAACAGAGATGGAAGCGTTCACCTTTGCCGTGACCACTCAAGTGGACATACCAATACGCATCAAGATGTAAGTTCCACATTCCTAAGCATTGGGCTTTTTCTCATGCCGGCACATCTATAGTGGTTCGTTAGAGGGAAAGCAGAAGCCGATTCCATGCACCGTTCTAGATAAAAATGCCGAGCTGCGGCATATTGCCTCCGTCCAAGACCCCGCCTCCGATCTCTATGTGACCGCTCAGATATGGTCGGAGTCGAAGCCATTGGGCGTGCCCATGAAGACCAAATACAAGGCCTTCAAAACTGCCCGCGTATGGAATGAATGGTTGGAGATGCCCATGTCTATCAAGGATGCCGAGCGTAATTCTCAGCTCGCAATCACCATCGTTGATATGTCCCCACTCGCTGCTGATAGGATTACGCACGTCCCATTCGGTGGAACTACAATCACTTTGTTTGATGAAGACGGGAAATTGAAAATGGGCAGACAAAAGTGCAAGGTTTATTTACACAAGGACGCAGACGGCTCTGCTACAACCTCTACCCCATCTGTTTTACCACCTAAGCGTCGTAAGCCGAATACCCGTGATCCTTCACAGCAGTCACCCGAAGAAGCGGAACTAGAACGAGTCGAAGTCTTGATCAAGAAACACGAAATGGGGGAGATCCCACGTGTGGACTGGATGGATCAATTGCTCTTTCGGGAGTTGGAGAAACTGAAGACAAATGCAGATGAAGCGGCTCAAAAGCGCGCGCTTGAACTTCATGCAGCCCTACAAAAAGATCCGAAACACGTCAAAGATCAGGATGATAGCTCTGACGAAGAGAACATTGAAGATGAGTATTTCGACCTCTACGTCGAATTTCCACGCTTTGATCATCCCATTGTGTGGGCCGATCACGAGTATCCTCCTCCGCCCATTTCCTCCTGGCCCCAAAATGCACCTCCTCACCCCAATGCTACCCTCAAGCCAGTTCCGGAGGTACATTTTGGACCTGGAATCTCAAACGCCGATCCCCATAATATCATTCAGATTTATGATCCGGAGGTTGGTCAAATCGGAAACCCGTGTGAGGACAAGCACCGGCGTTTGATCCGTAGCCATCGAACCGGCATCATGGATCGTGACCTGAAGCCCAACCCAAAGATCAGGGATGATCTCAATATGATTATCTCCTATGAACCGACACAAGACCTCACCGCTGAAGAGAAGGATCTTGTGTGGCGTTTCAGGTATCATCTTACACGCGAGAAGAAGGCATTGACAAAATTCGTCAAATCAGTCAACTGGCGGGATGTTGGAGAATCGCGGCAAGCTGTTGAAATGTTCCCTAAATGGACCGAGATTGACGTCGACGACGCTCTTGAGATTCTTGGTCCCACCTTTGATAATCCTGCGGTCCGTTCGTATGCTGTGGAAACACTGCGGAAGGCAGATGACGAGGAATTGCTTCTTTATCTTCTTCAATTGGTGCAAGCTCTGAAATATGACGCAACTCCGGATAACCAACCTGATGCGGCTCCGCAGGAGTCCTCGCTTGCACATTTCTTGATTTCGCGTGCGGCTAATAACTTCAAGCTTGGCAACTACCTACACTGGTATCTCATGGTCGAATTTGATGACGCTGATGCAATTCAGCGTCGGCTGTTTGCGCGGGTTGAATACTACTTCATGGTTGAACTGGAGAAGCTTCATCCTGAGCACAGAAAGACACTATTACGCCAAGGTGAAATGGTGGCTGTGCTCTCCAAAATAGCCAAGGACGTACGCTTCGCACGCGAAAACAGAGTCGGCAAGATTGAGATGCTGAAAAAATATCTCCGTGACCCTGATAACGACCTGATCAACATAGATCCATCGCTGCCCCTACCTTTAGATCCCGATGTTTCAGTGGTTGGATTATACCCCGAGGAATCCAACGTCTTCAAGTCCACTCTTTCCCCTTTGCTTATCACGTTCAAGACTTCTGAAGGTCGTCGTTATCCGATGCTGTTCAAAGTCGGTGATGATCTTCGCCAGGACCAATTGGTCATCCAGATCATCATCTTGATGGATCGCCTTTTGCAGAAGGAGAACCTTGATCTTAAACTGACTCCTTATCGAATTCTTGCCACCAGCGCAACGGCCGGCGCCGTGCAATTCATCCCCTCGATTTCTCTCTCCGCGGCGTCCGCCAAGTATAAATCCATCCTTGCCTATCTACAAGCCAACAACCCAGATGACAATGAGCCTCTTGGCGTTCGCAAAGAAGCAATGGATACATACGTCAAATCATGTGCAGGATACTGCGTTATCACGTACCTCCTCGGCGTTGGCGACCGGCATCTTGAAAACCTGCTTCTAGCACCAGATGGCCACTTCTTCCACGCTGACTTTGGGTTCATCCTTGGTCGTGATCCGAAGCCTTTTGCGCCCATGATGAAACTTTGCAAGGAAATGGTCGAAGGCATGGGCGGCACAACCTCGCCCCAATATCTGCAGTTCAAGCAGTACTGCTACACTGCTTACACCACGCTGCGGAAATCTGCCAATCTGATCCTTAACCTCTTCAGTTTGATGGTTGATGCCAATATCCCTGATATTCGAGTGGAGCCTGATAAAGCCGTCCTGAAAGTGAAGGAGCGCTTCCATCTCGAGATGACCGAGGAAGAAGCCATCCGCCACTTCGAGCAACTTATCGCAGACAGTGTCAATGCTATATTTGGTGTTGTGATTGATCGCTTGCACGATTTTGTGCAGGGCTGGCGGGCATAAGCTCTGGTACTTTGAAGGCTTGTGCGCCTTGGGATGTGTAAGGAATTTCCCTGCTGATCTTGCATATACTTTAATTTGTTCTTGTTTTTGTTTTTGTTTTTGTTTTTGTTTTCGTTTTTGTTTTTTTTGTTTTTTTTTTTTTGGTTCCAGACCACAGGCATTGTGGCGTTTTGGGAATGATGTCGTGAGATGGGGGTTCTGCTTCTTTCCTCATGACATGCGGCGCAATATGATGGATTTATAAAAGCCAGGATACCCAATCTAGATTTTTTTGTCTGGATAGCAATTATTTGTTGAAATTCCGAGCGATGCCTACACAGGAGCCTGAGTAGGCTCTGCAAAATATAGATATAGCCAAGTCAAGCCTCCGGCAGATTCAACATGGTTGACATCCGGAGCAAGTAGAACTTCCTAGCATTTCCTCCAATGTTGTATGGCACTCCTAGCCTAGGTATAGCCTGCATATACATTTTGGTGAATCTCAAATATTATATCTTACAGGTATCACTGCACTTTGGTGAAGTCAATTCTTGTAGCCAAGCGCCAAACCCCCAGTTCTAGTGCGTTGGTCGTCTTGCAAGTTATCATCCCCACATTAACGACACATATACCTACGATGTACTCCGTATATAGGAAGTAATTGGTAATTCTTCTTAGTTTCGATCCCGACGGTATTGACCCGTGCTAGCAATTTGTAATAAATTGGTTAAGCAGTGCACAGCGTGCAAGATGCTCTATTATTGTGGGAACAGTCTTTGAATATCTCATGATCGAGTGAAACATGCCATAGAGCTCCCGTTTCTCGCGGCACTACCCGAGTATAGGCTTCTTATTAGCTAATGCTAATCCTCGAATCCCGACGACTTCCCCGTATATATTTCCCGGATTCGGGGAATCCAATACGCTCTCTATGCGGAAGAGGGATTACAGTTCAAACCCCGTAGAAATCGACTCCACTTTTGTGAACCTCCGGAATATTGAAATCATTCGATTTCAACGGGGTTTGGCTGTAGCTTGCTTGTGCACTGGGGGATAGTACCAAGGTCGAGTGCTCTTTCTAGAGGTATGTACCATCTACGTCCTAGACTATATATATATATATATATATATGTATATGTATCTCCATTGCCCTTCTTCTCTGTTCACTGGCCATATTATTCCTCAATTTCCTCTAAACGGCTTCCCGAAAACACAAAACCAGCATTTGGTCATATAAAATATTGATGGAGCATACTATTACCGTCACTACGGTCCAAAGAACCAAGGCTGCATCAAACCATCACATCCAGCCGAGTACGCAGGACAAGATTGGCTCCCCAGTGGTGTCTCAAGCCAGCCGTGATTACTCTCCGCCCCCATCAAATATTCCGGAGACACCTATACCATTGTGCAAACTGGAACTTCAGTCTTTGCCTGTTAACGTTCGGACCATTGCCAATCCCGCTCCCCTGGGTCTATGTGCATTTGCATTGACATCGTTCCTCTCGAATTGTGTCGCCCTCAATGTGGGAGGTATGAAAGTAGCAGGGGTCAGTATGTCCTTGGCTTTGAGTTATGGTGGTATAGCGCAGGTGTTGGCTGGAATGTGGTATGTCCTATCCTGCTTTGTGTGTTGCCTAGTGCTAATAAGAGTAGGGAAATGGCGGCTGGGAATACTTTTGGTGCGACGACCTTTTGTTCTTTCGGTGCCTATTGGATATCATTTTCTCTGATCTCGACTTTCGACGATACCGATTTTACAAGAAGTACAGTAGATCCACTATGTCAGAACGAGCTCTTAATGGGCCTGTTCATGTTGGTAAGCCAATTCCATCAAATTCAAGATTTACTATCATGGGAAAAGATACTGAGAACGATGTATGTATACAGGGCTGGTGCATCTTCACTACACTGATGCTCTTGTGCACTCTCAAATCTAATCTTGCGATGTTCTCTCTGTACTTTTTCATGGACATGAACTACCTTCTACTCGGCATTGCGCACATTCAATGCAACTCTCATGGCGAGATTCCGGTTGCACTTGAGAGGACAGGCGGTATTTTTGGCATTTTGGCAGCGTCTTCGGCTTGGTATAATGCCTTTGCGGCTATTTCTGATATCAATAACAGTTTTCTAATAGTTCCCGTTGGTCATTTCCCTTGGTCTACAGCTGCACATCTTCGTCGGGTTAAGGCTAAAGAGGTGTGATCTCGGACTAAGAACGGAAAAACCACAACATATAGTCCCTCTCTTCATGGTACGAATGTCTGTCGTGGACCGGCGAATCAAGAAATGAAGTATTCTTGACTATTGTGTTTGATCCCGTTGCTCAATAGGAAGATTATATTCTGAGAAAGATACTTGAAACATTGGACCTCAAATTGAATTGTGCTCTGAGAATACTGGCAGTATTCCTTGCATAAGTCTGATACAAAAGATACCCGTATGATTCCTGGGTGGACCAGCCACCACACTGTTGGTCAATGAGCCTTCGAGGGTGACGCTGTCGGAGCATACGGCAGAAGGAAACCCCGACCAGGAAAACGGAGAAAGACAAGTGGAAAATGAGTGACAATTGAGCTACGTAGAACGAAAAATCCCGAGACACATTGGGTGGGGTTGGACAAGAGAGGCAGGGCTGCCTCGGGGTTTGTCTGTTTGCGTCACATACACGGCTAAACCACGGTGATCACTTTAGACAAAAAGTAGCAGTGGTAGAGATCTAGGGGGCCCAGTTAACGGGCTTTGGCAAGCATCGACGGGCTCTGGCGGGCTCTGGCGGGCTTTGGTAACCATCTCCCGCTCGGCAGCCGAACGTACCACGCGCCAAATTATTATTAGAAGTAGGGTTGACCTAACCTGTGTTTTCTGTTGAGCTTGAATTAGAAGGAAAGCTATGCTCGCGCAAAAAGGAAACATGAATCTCCAGAATGAAGCACTACGGAAGTCTGCAAAGCCCTAAGTTGCTGCACATGATTCACTCACCGCCCGCCCTTCCGCCCTGGACATTTTGACGGGTTTTTTGTTGCCTTCCGCGGACCAGCGATTTTATTTGTTGAATCAATCCAGTCCCTTGAGACTGATCATCCACCGCTCCGATTAAGATGAATCATATTTCACCGGACTGAAAAACACTATCCTTCAACGAGCTCCAATGGCCCAGTTCGTTCCGCGCAATGTATTCCCTCATTATGGGGCTATTCCACGGTCCTATTTCTTAGGACACCACAGGGCTGGTCTGACCAAGATGAAAAGCATGCTCTCAACTATCGACTATGTTGTCGAGTGTCGTGATTATCGAGCTCCCGTGACCTCGATCAACCCCATGTTTGAGGAAGCTTTGGGCAAGATGCGACGACTGGTCGTCTACACTAAGAGAGATCTGGGAAGCACTCCCAGATCATCTGCCCAGAAAATAGTAAGTATTTTCTTCTTGGCTATGCAGTGAGATAACAGACCACTGCTGGATATCAGCTAAAAGTGCTGTAGATAGAACGCAAACTGCAAGGTTTTGATCCAAAGAGCGCCGTGTTTTTCACCAGCTCGTCCTCCCGGCAAGATGTCAGCCAGATCATCAAGCACCTTCGAACCGACGCCGAAGCTCCCGATAAGTTAGTAGGCTGTCGAGTGTTAGTTGTCGGAATGCCCAATGTTGGCAAGTCAACACTGATCAACAATCTACGCAACTCAGGCACGGGCAAAGCCAAGGCTATGAAAACCGGGCAGCAACCCGGTATCACACGCAAGGTAGCCACGCAGGTGAAGATCATTGATCGTGAGAACGGATCACATGTCTACGTTCTGGACACGCCGGGAGTGTTTATGCCATATGTTCCAGAAGCAGAGAATATGCTCAAGCTGGCTCTCTGTGGCTGTGTCAAGGACAATGTCATTTCCGCGATAACCATGGCGGATTACTTGTTGTATCATATAAACCTGAATGATCCATCAGTATACAAGCGCTGGTCGGAACCGACCAATGATGTGGTTCCATTAATTGAAAGCTTTGCGCGCCAAACTGGCCTGCTCGCAAAAGGCGGGGTGCCAATGATGGATGGAGCCGCACTTCTTTTTATACAGAAATGGAGACAAGGAGAGCTAGGTCAATTTTTGGTGGACGACCTAGAAGCAGAGGAACAACGGCGGGGAGATCCTACGCAAACACCGCGCATGAGCATGACGCAGGCCTTGAGAGTGGAAAGGACAACTCGAAAGAACAAACCGGATGCAACAACGAGCGATCTGTAAAATATTGTACATAATGAATCCGCCTTCGGGATATTGTGGATATTTGGAAATAATGATCAAGTGGTGTCATTACGATGAAACAGAGAATGATGCCTTAAATGTGGAGATATTGCACAAGCACCTGTAACGCCGAACCCAGGCAAAGGACAGAAATAGAAACAGGGAATCTTGAACGCAGTATCTAAATCAAGAGATCTTGTCCAGAAGGCGGCGGCGCCGCCTATCCACAAGCTCTTCCTGGACCTCATCCAGCGTCGGGAGTCTCCATTCCACCCCGTCGCCCGCATCACCAGGTAGAGATTGCCAGCCATCTTCAGCATCATCCTCTCCTTGGTGGCGCAGGTGTTCAACAGACTCCTTCTCCTTCTGTTTCTCATACGCCAATAACGTACCATCTTCTTCATCGAGACCATAGCCGAAGTAGTTGGCATCAACCTTCCTCGTCGCAATATCTCCACCGCGGCCAGACACAGCCTCTTCCTCCGCCGGTCCTTTCGCGCGAGTAACCGCAGCCTCAATCATTTCTTTGACACCAGGCAGCTCCCGGGCACGACCATAATATTTGTAGCCTCTTCCTCCGCCGGGGATCTCGCGTCCTTCATCGTCGTAAAGTCGGTTCGATCCACGCATGTAGTTCGGTCCGCCGAGGTTGCGGATTTGCATTTCCCACGCCCATTTCTCACGCATGAGCTTGTTAATCTCATCGTTGAGATCGCGGATCTGGTAGTCGCTCAGGCTTTGCACGTGGATGCGTGATACTTTGCGCGAAATTTCTTTGACGACCTGTCCGCGCCAGCGCTCGCATACTGGCACCGTATCGATGGACGTGATCGCTTTGGGCCGTCGGGTGCGTGAGACATCAATGATTCCGAGGTCGGCTGCTTGCTGCGCGCGGAAGCGGAACAGCATAGACTGCGCTTTTTCACTGTTGCGTGCCTATTATATAGCGGGGGCTTGAATTAGCAAGACGTGACTCGACATGGATATGGGGATTTCCCCGTGGATTTGAGCTGATAAGTGTGAGTCTCACCATGATGAAGGATTGACCAAGTCAGCGACCCGAAAAACGCGGGTATCGTGGGCGTTGGCAGGGAAGAAATCTGAATGAGGAAATCATGAGCTTGACAGCTTGCGGATATCACGTGCCTTTTTTCCACATATCATCAACGTCAATCAACCATTCAACAGTCATTACATTGCGTGTTAAGAACAATGTCTTTTTTCCTCACTCTCACTAGTGCTCTATCTTCACAACGAATAGGTTGTGTTATAAGAAGCAACTCTTCCACATGATACAGAGATCTTTCTCTTTCATTCCGCTTATCTATAGGTGGACATATTAAGTTGTACTATAAGATGGAGAAAGGTTATCTAAAGAATATAAGCAATGCCTGACTTGATAGAAATTCGGGAAACAAACAAGTAATTCTCATCCGGATGGAACGTACGTTAGCTGTACATTCCTAGAGCAATGTGGTGCTCAAACGATGGGTATTTTGAGCCCAGGGAGAAAGAAGTGAAATAAAGAATATTTGGCTCGATAGAAATACATACTATTGTAGGCTGAACTGGATGAGGTTATCTCTTCTAGAAAGATGTATTGTCTATACATATGCGGAGGTACCGGATTGTTGTTTGCCGAACTAATTAATAGAATTTTAATAGAATAGAACAGAGCTAATCAGTAAAAAACAAGACTAAACATTGTAGCACCCTATACGGTCGTTAGCGGCAACTGCTGCTGCTGCTGTATTCACCGGTCTAGAGGTCTCTCTCCCTAGAGGAAGGATCAGCTTTGGTCGAGGGGATTTTGGTTGAGACGACTTAGTGGCGATCGGCTTCGCAACCTCCACAAAGGGTTCTTGTTACTATTATACTTAGCGGGGGAAGGAGATCGGGAATGCTACCTGATACGGGATGATCTTAGAGTTTCTATCGGCTGGGACTTAGATAGGGAGCTGACACTATTTACTAAATGGTATATCCATAATAGGGAGTGTGACTAGGTTTATTGACTACCCATTGTAGTCTATCAAGAGGCGGAGACCTAACAGAGTCGGCGGCAACGTCACCGTTAGAATTATCATCCTAAATGTGAGGCGTCAGGTCGATCTGAAGAAGAGAAGGAGTGCATTCAACGTGGTGACTAAGGTGGAAAAGGAAAGAAGAAGCAAGTGCAGGAGCAGGAGATTGCCTGCTCATATAGCTGGCGCTTCTACAAACGTTGCAAAGCCTAGCGATCTAACAAATAATCCATGAAATGCAAACTAACTAGTAAACTATGTAAATAGTAAGCCAGCAAGCGAACATAAGCATGTGATAGCGGTCTATAGTAGATCATGACACTAAATTGGTACACTCTGAGACACATTCACAGCATATAGCTTGACTAGACTATGCATTCAATGTTAATATCTTTGAACACGTCCAAGATGGGATTCAGGGTCCACAATTTGATATCGGATGACTAAAAGCCAAGAAATTCCAGGGCCAACAAGGTTGCTAGTTCGACATTGAACATGAGGAATTCCATCACTTCCTTCCCGCTAAGAGCGCCAGAGCTCAGGTAAAGACTTTGTATATAAAAATGCAGTCGCGACCGGACTCTGCTGGGGCAAGTGCGCCATCACCCCCACAAGATAAGTTGTCGACCTCCGAGTATCCCTTGCAGGAGATCGGATCGCGGTACAAAGATGAAGCCCGCGACAGCGATGAACTGAGCTTGGACTTAGAATCAGGCAACCTGCCTCTTCTGCCCTCGGAAGTCGACGGCATGGAGGCTCAATCGGGGAAATTCGAGCGTGATCCGCCGTTTTCTTGTACGCCCTCGGGATTCTGCGCTTGGCTCCGCGGCCCGACGCCGCCGCATGTCTATCACATTAACCCTTGGTTTCCTAGCTTGCAGGCTGCGCCGGCGCGTCTGATTGACCAGAAATTTCCGCGCAAGAGTTCAAAGATCGCGCTCCTTTTTGGCGGTTTAATTTTTTGGATTGTCGTGTTCTTCGCGTGCTTCAAAGCTTCTGTCGCGGGCCAAGAGGTTCCGGGGTTTGGGCAGCCCGTCAAGCTTTCGTGTCACCACCGTCTATGGTGTGTTTCTATTCTTATATCTAAGTAGATCATTTGATATTGTGAACCTGACCATATCTATATAGGAGCAATTCTACGAATTGCGGACTGAATGGTGACCTTTGTCGCCCATTCGAGGACCAATCCTTCGCCTTCCGCTGCCCCTCAGGCTGTGCGGCGGCGATTCTTCTGGAGCCGTATGTTGTTGGCGACCAGGAGCTCAATTACCGGCCGTTAGTCGTGGGAGGTAAGCCACTGGAGGTGGGTGATCAGAACAGCAGCATTTACCGCGGCGATTCGTCAATTTGCGCGTCAGCACTACATGCTGGTCTAATTGATGACGCGAGGGGTGGATGTGGTATCCTGCACCGCACCGGCGAGCAGAAAAACTTCCAATCTATCATGCAGCATGGAATTGAAAGTATCGAGTTTCTCTCAAGCTTCCCAATGTCATTCCGACTAGAGAATGAAGCCTCATCCCCAGACTCGAATAAGACAACACCGATCAAGTGTTCTGATGCGCGTTGGTCGCTCTTCGCCTTCACTTTGATCTGGACCACCTTCTTATCATTGGTCGTGACATCAGCACCGGCATTCTACTCCATGATGTATTTCATTGTCTGGTTCCAAGTCGCTATGGCGTCCGACCCGCCCTCGATCGGGAGCTATTATGACCTTGTGTCAATTGCGCTCGGTCGATTCCTGCCTGGCGCATTTGTGGGATTCGTGCTATATTACTTCTGCGTCCGGTACACGCTTAAAAATTTGGATGCACACTGGGACAAGACCGTCTTGTGGCTGGGTGGCTGCTGGGTTGGCGCCCTGAACACGGATACATTTGATCGCATTCCAATCTCTCGCCTCACACCTCACGATATCCAGCAGCAACCGGGTGCTCTCACAGCTCTCATCATTGTAGTTGGGTCTTTGATCGTAATCGCCTTTGGTCAAGCACACTGTTACCGTCGCGAAGGCCGCTTCTTCCCTACGATAAGCATCTACGGCGTCCTTGTTGCAGTTGTTCTCATCCTTGTCGCCGTTCCGAACATGAACCTACGCATCCACCATTACATTCTCTCTCTTCTCTTCCTACCTGGAACAACTCTGCAAACGCGACCCAGTCTCCTATACTCAGGTATTCTTATTGGTCTTTTCATAAACGGCATCGCCCGCTGGGGCTTCGATTCCATCCTCCAAACTCCAGGCGCACTCCTTGATGGTGCTAAACTTGGTACAGTTCCACCAAAGATATATCCTCCTTCCACGACGGATGCGAACAACCTCGTTTTTTCGTTCCCGGACCTCGAGCCCCATGCCGACGGCCTGAGTGTTTTGGTCAACGATGTCGAGCGCTTCCAGGTTTTCCGACCTAAGGATGGCCAGCATTTTCCAGATTTTACTTGGGCTCGCACTTATCCCGACGAGGTGGAGTATTTCCGTTTTGGACTCGTTCACACTAATGCTTTGGGCGGTCTTTGGTATGAAGACTTTTCTCCACCTGCTGTCTGGGGCGCTGATGGTAATTTTGTTTTCCCTGATTCTGAGATCCCTGAGGATCCTGGATCCGAATCCAAGTCCGGATAGAGAACTGCGCCATAGTGCCACCCTGTACATACCCTCATGCTTCTTGAAATTAGACAGATATTCTTGGTAGATTTGCGACGTATAGGCTCTGACCTCGGAATCTTTGGTAATACTAGTTATCTTCCCTCAGGGGCTTAGTCCCTCCCTCATACAGTAAGCTCTAAGTTCTATATTCTACAGTTCTGTTCTGTTCACATCCGCGTGGATCAACACATTACTCTCTGTGTTATGGTTGATCAAGCACCTGCTGGATTGAACAGTTCGTACCATCGATTCCACCGAGGTTTCTGGTGCTATTCTTTATTGTCTTATTTTTCCGACAATTGGCTTCGACTAATCAAACTTTAAGCCGGCAATCTGAATTTGACTTCCTACAGGCCATACCTAGTTCATAATGGTGAGCGTTCCATCACATGTCATTTAGCCACCACATAAGAATACATTTGCCTATAATGCTGGACCCAAAGCAATCGTGTAGAATTGTTATTCCTCGATATAACCACGACACGACACCTGTACAATACTTTGCTTTCCGCCATCCTCTATAACCAAAGCCGTGAGCTTCCCCCCCTTCACACAACCCGAGTCAAGACCCTTTGTGAATGTGCGGATGGAAAGAGACCTAGAAGCATCGTGGCCATAGACAACAGTCATGGTGCCTGCAAGGGGATCTTCAGTAGAAGACTCGAGGCTCGAGTATAATTTTGATTGATGCTTATCAAACATCTAGATTGAAGGTATGTCAGTATGACGACAAGACTGAAGAAATGAAATAGAAAGAGAAGGCATACTTTAGCCCAATTCATGCCGTTCTTTTTCGGACTGGGTACATGCGTATCTAGATCAATGGTCCGCATAGTCATCACGCTAGAAGGGTCTTGCTTCTCAAGTTCGATGCCCGGTACTAGACCCGCATGAACAACAACCACCTGGCCCATACCTGGAACTTGGCCGACATTCAGAATAACTGAGCAGTTCTCCAGCCACTGAGCTTGCTCGTCGCTCAAAGACCGCGCGACTGCACGCTCGCCAAGTTCTTTGGATGAGAAACGAGCATCTTCATCGTCATCGGGGGTTGCGAGCGTTTCAGTATTCACCATCTCGTGGCGAAGAAGCAAAACCCGGTCCTCGTGGTTTCCACGGACACCAGATGCCGAATGCTGTCGAGCTAAGTCCACGACTCCTGGACTGTTTGGTCCTTTGTTGATCATGTCACCGACAAAAATAAGGTGATCACCACCTGCTTGGTTGAAAGAAACCTTTTCAAGAAGTTGCACCACTGTTGTAGGCTTGTCAGTTTCAGGGATTCCCGCACTTGGGGGGTATGTCTTACACTCATCTTTACAGCCATGCACGTCGCCCACAATGATTAGCCGTTTCCGACTAGATTTCCCTGAGACCACTCCCGCTATGTTCCCAGGCACCAGGTTTGGGTCCAAGGTACGGATCTGAATCAAGCCGTCGAACTGAGGGTTTGAGTTTGTCCCGAACCACCCACCTGTCTCTGTCTCAGATGTCGGATCAAGTGAATGCAACAGGGATTTTTGCTCTTGTAGTCGTGGAGAAACCAGCATTCGCCAACCGATAAATGCAAATAGAAACAACGCGACATATATCAGCACATGTCGGAACCGCGGCGCGGAAACTACCGAGAGAGCCATTTGGGACCATCCCGGGGATTTGATGTCATCCGCGGAGGAGCTGGAGGCGCGCTGGGAATCTGCGGCGGCTCTTAATTGCCATTCGTTTCTGGCGGAATCAATCAGTGGGCGAGAATAAAGTGTAAATTGTTTTGGGTAGGAGGGACGGTGGGTTGTGGTCGGGTGGTAGTCGTTATCTGCCCTGTTGGTCTCGAAGTCCTGCAGATGGGAGTCAAGAGGCGCCATCCTCCTGCGCCTGAATTAGGCTTTATATCTTTATCTGAAAGTGTACTGTATGCTTCATGTGCTGCATTTGATGAAATTGAGCGAGAGTAGGTGAATGTGAAGAGGCAGAATTAACCATCGCGGCTCTGACGTATACCTAGACCCGCTTTCTTTTATTAGGCCGTAACGTTCGACTCCTTTATATTGTTTCTGTTTGGAACTTGATATTTGTCCTTTTGGTTTATTTGTACATTTTACACTATCCTCGGTACTGATCGTACTCCTCCGCTTCCCGTCTGCGCAGGTTTACACGCTGGAGAACAGTCTCATCATATACATCTTCCACCTTCTTGCCACCCTTAAGCACCTCGTTTTCGTGTCGGAGAGCCTCCTCCTTCGTCATACAGACCAGTTCATTGATGTTCATCGGGACGGTCTTTTGTCCCTCTTTCTCAAGGCTCAGATCCATCTTCCATCCATGTGCGGGAGTTTGCCAGGGAACGAGAGCCAGTCTGTTCGACAAGCCACTGATCGCACTCTTTCCCCGGTATACTTCCTCTACAACGAATGCAATGTCATCCTTGCTGAGAGGAGCGCGGAGTCCCACGGTATCTTGACCGGTGGTTTGTTTGATCATTCTTTCATGCAAGTTTAGCAATGCATTTAAAATGGTATCGTAGAGTTTCTCGCGGCCCTTGGCGCCCATATTGTAGTCAAGCGGGTAGCCAGCAATAGTGCAGATAACGTGGTTGGCTACCGTGTAACCAAAGACTGCAGGCATGGTCCCTAGCACTGGGAGAATGCGGGCTCGGAAGTCAGGAAGAACTCCAAGCTCACCAACTTGACCCTTGATGAACTCATCCTCGGGGAGAGGAAGCAGGGTAGCCTTGCCCGGGCCCGGTTTCTCTGTTGAGAACACGGCTGCGACGCCTGACGAAACACCAAGGAGCTTTAGTCTGCGGCGTGTAGCGCGGGACAAAGGATCATCGGTGCTGAGCGAGATGTCACCGACCACGACGCGAGTCGGGTCTGACTTGCACCCTGCACCCATCGACGAAATCACAGGCAAGGAGTTCGTGTGGCAATAGTGTAGCAACTCTACCTTGGACGTAATGTTATCGATACAATCCAACACAAAATCTGGTCTACGGCCCTCCCCGTCGTGTGTCAGAGACCACGGGCCAAGAAGCTCGTCAGATGCGGCCTTTCCATAGAGCTCATTCCGGCAATCGAACATGACCCACGGCGCGATTTGTTCCAATCGCCTCCGGATGCACTGGACCTTAGGCGTACCAACATCAGCCAATGTCGCTACGGCGTGTCGGTTCAGCGATGATAGTGTGACTTGATCGAAATCAATGAGCCGGATTTTTGACACGCCCGATCTGGCCAGGGAGGCAGCGGCATGCGAACCAACACCACCACAGCCGACAACGACAATGAATGACGATCGGAGCTTGGCAAGGCCTTCATCGCCAAGGAACACACGGTTGCGGGCGAGCTGTTCTAGAATCAAGTCTATCAAAGCAAGACGAGCCGAGTGAGATAGGTTCGCAGAAGCATGCCATAGAAAAGCCACATACCATCATCGTAGTCCCCCTGTTGCGCTCTGCGAGCTAAAGCTGCACTGCGCTGATCTTCCTTGCTCAGCTGTATTCCATTCGAGGCAGCGCCAAAATCGGTGAGCTATAGTCCGCCGAATCAGCTTTTGCCCTGTAGCTTGCTTGGCACTCAATGCGCAGGTTCACCGATGCATCTCACCATTTCTGCAGCATGCAAATCATCTATACTTGGGATCGAAGCCTTCAGATCGTGAACAGCTTCCTTGCGCTTGTATGACTGGTACCCAAGGATGGCACTTGCGACAGCTGCGCCGGATACGACGGCCGCTGTCGCAAGCTGTCCGTGGGGGGTACCAGCCTGACGGTGGAGCCAAGAAGACATGCTTGCAATCACACCCTTATCGTATGTATTCTGGATATCTCTCGATTTGCTTCTATTCTCGTGGGAGGTGTTTCGATCAGGTTCGTTATATCTGGTATCCGGTTCGTCAGAATCGAATCCGTAGTCGAGGTCGACCTCGTTGGGCTCTTGCCACCATTTTGATACTGGGGGAGCCATTATGGATGTGGGATGTACTGACCATGACAAGTAGCCGACCGCAGATATGGACTTCTAGTAACGGAATATATGCAAGCCAAATTCGTGAAACTACGCCGGCTATCACGTGCTGCGGTGCTAGGTAATTGTGCAGGGACTAAGTAAGGCGGTATGGTAGGCGGTCAACGTGCTCATAACCGTGCTTACCATATTTCTAACAACACTCATGCGATCTCCGAAATCTTTACAATTTCTTTTGCCGGCCAATTATCTTATGAAATTGCTATATATGCTCTTGCATCATCTCACTCAATAGAAGGTCGTTGTTGGCAGACCGATGTAGCCATCAGTCTCGACATCACATTATAGAGCCTGACTGAGAAAGTCGCGTCTAGGCACAGCTTGATGTTTAATCCGATAAAAATTTGTCGGTCAATGCCGGCAACTATGTCTTATCGCTTGAGAAGATGCAATAACGACGCGTTCATCGGCCTAATTATTCGCTATCCATTACAAAAGGTATGTTTTTCTCACACTGGTTCTCTGGTCTCTAGCTTCAATGCAGATTCAATGGAATATCTCGTGCCAAGTCTTGATGACGATAAACCTCACAAGAGCTTTCATGACATGTCGGTTGACTGAACCCGTCGGGCCATGGACTTCATCCCCCTGATACCTCGGGGTGGAAGAAGACATCGGCCCACAAGTGTGTGATTGAACAATGAACAGAGATCTGACGAGACTCGGACCTTTGATATTTCTTGTTATGTGTTATCTTGAAGGAATTTTGTTGAATGTGTTCAACTAACATCGTTTAGGGGTGTTGTACATATTCTATATCTCCAAATCTCACATCTCCTTCGGTTTTGTTTGCCAATCACCTGTTCCCTCCCGAGTACTATATTCATCGTGAGGTGTTTTCATGTCCTCCCTCCTATAATATCCCAGTGATGAGAAAATACAGTTACATACTCCGAGGCCCTGTATATGTGCTTCGTCTGTACGCCTTTCAAGGAAACGACAAGCACGCCGGTGACGAGTGACAAAACATGGTAGTTTTCAATCTGAGGGCATGTTTATTACCAATGTGTGGTTAGAAATCTTATCTTGAGCTTCTTCTCTGAATTCATAGTGCCTGTTTTATTTGGTCCAGTTTCTGAATTCTAATGACTCTTGGGCGTGATGCGATAGATCAAATACAAATAGTTTCATCCCTTCGTTGGCACAAGTACCCGGGAAATGCAGCACCAAATGACCTCTTAGAAACACAATTTTGAAACAGTTCCTATGTTATAGTATTCCTAACTGAACGTCATAGAGACCATGCAGTAGAATAGCCCCAGGCATCGAAATGGCTTTTGCCTCAGGCAGAAAGCAGTATACTGGTAGTACCGGGACGGAAGAACGTTTAATCCCTTGGACTTAAAACAACATCAGTGCTTCTTGTCAATTTTATATTCCCATTAAGGCATTGGCCAAGCCTGAATTCCTTATCTCCAGTCATTTTTGTACAAGTCTATGACTATATCCTGCACCTTAGGATCTCCAATGCAGAGTTCGCGGAGGCAACAGCCAACAGCGACTTCATGGGGCTACCATCACACGCCTATGACACCTGCTAATCTAAAGAGTTAACCGCATAGCCTCTAACAAGTCTCAAAGATAGGCCATCTTCTTGTGGAGAAAAACGGTCGACAGCTATTGTGATTAAATGATAGATATCGGAGGTTGCTTCGTCTCCCTGTTGAAGAGAGCCACTCATTATATGACACGCTGAGGCGTATCCTCAAGGACAACAGCTCTGCCTACAAACGGATACGCGACCCTTCCCTTTGTGCACTCTGTGCCTGCAGTATAAATACCTGCCCTTCTCCACTTCCTCTCTTTCGCACCTTTAAGCTGCTGAATTCGAGGGAATATCCATTAAGGTGACGTTTCTCCAATGCGGCATTGGCGAACAATAATCATTCGACTATCAATGACATTCTGGGTTTCCTGGTTTGTCTTGTGATTCTATAAAAAACTTTCACCAAAGAACTTAGCTTCCAAGCTTTACTTTTGGTGTCTGTCTCGTGGATTTTTGGATTTTTGGCCTTGTGGGCAATGTGACTGTAGTCTTTCTATAAACGTTCTGGGTTCTCCTAGTACGTCAACTGAAATTTGGTACTTTTCATCATTTATCCTGACTTTCATGTTCTCAGTCTTGATTTTATATTTGTTCCTTTCTGCTTTTTTGTGGGTGTGGTGATATTTTAGAATTGTGGGCTTTGTGGGTCGTGTTATTATGAGCTTTTCCCCTTCTCGCCCTGTGATGAGTTCGTCTCAGACGAACATAAGCCAATTCTGATGCATCTGCTTGACGACGGCTCCATTCATGGCACTTCGTGCCTGTGGACCGTGTATACAGCTGGAAGCCGGTTATGAAAACTGAGAGCAACCTGAGGGCGAGTTTCCTTTTATTTTATGGAGTTCAATGTACATATAACCTCTTGGTAGAATCAAATGAAATAATACATCGGCATATCTGTTCATTTTTCGTACCATCCACTTGTAGACTGTCTGGAGGTATCCATCGATTCCCGACTGCAAACAAAAACAGAGAAGAGGCATCTCATTTCCATTTCGTAAATGTACAACGCCTACTAAATGCCAAATGTCGCACGCTGAACGACGTATTTACAAATTTTTTAATTATTCTTTATCGCCTCGGACGCAGATCGCCATGCGACTAGCGCAAAAACTTGCCCAATGCGCCACCGATGTTCTTGAGATCTAACAAGAAAGTGTCATGACCGAACAACGACAGGTCATCACCAAGCTCAATATGCTCGACATTCTTGTTGCCTCCAGCACGGAGTGTCTCGGCAATCTCCCGCTGCTGCCAAGCCGGGAAGAGAATGTCACTTGCAACACCCATGACAAGCACAGGGTGGTCCTTGAGAGGCGCAAGGCCGACAACAAGATCCCGGGGAGGACCATCCACCGAGTCAGCTGAGACGGACTTGTCCAGTGGGGTCGTATTGGAGGTTGATCCGGGCTGCTCCTCATAGGGCTTGTCTGGGAGAGTCAGACTGCAAGCGGAGTCTGAGCCAATTGGGACGTCGCCGCCGTGCGCAATGCGCTCTTCGGACGCTGCGCGGCGTTTCAGAGTCGCGCTCTGATGAGCATGGCCGAGATCGAACAAGTCCATGGCCTTGGAGACATAAAGAAGACTGTTGGGATCATACTCGAGGCAGAACTTCTCACCGGCATGGTCGAGGTACGTCTCAATAAGGAAGTCGGGACACAGAGCGGGCTGCTTACTGGGGTCTGCACGCTGGCGACCAAAGCGCAGCTCCCATTCTGGCCCACTGCGGTATGTCACGGTTGCAATCTCGCGCGCTAGCTTCATACCAGAGTGAGGCGGGATGCCGTCGTAGTAAAATCCACGCGCCCAGTTCGGGTCCATCATCAGCACCTGTCGCTGCGTGTGTCGCATTGCTATACTGTAAGGGTGACTGCGGGCGCAACCGCTGATGCTGACAATTTTGGTGACCCGCTCTGGGAAGAGGACGCCTGCTGCGAGACTCTGCATGCCGCCCATGCTGGATCCGACGGAGGCAGCGAGTTTCTTGATTCCTAGGCCGTCAAGAAGTCGGAATTGAGCGCGGACCATGTCGTCCAAAGTCAGGATCGGGAAGCGGGTTGCGTACCGCTTTCCGTCGGACGGATCGAGGGAAGATGGGCCTGTGCTTCCGTAACATCCCCCGAGAACATTGGTGCAAATAATGTGATATTTATTCGTGTCTAGGGGCAATCCAGGGCCAATGAATTTCTCCCACCAACCGGGCTTGGGGTTGGACGCTGTGCTGTGGGCGTGGCTTGAGGCGGACAAGCCAGTATGCAAGAGGATGGCATTGCTCTTGTCGCCGTTCAATTGCCCCCAGGTTTCGTAGGCAATATCAAATTCTGTGAGCACACCGCCCCAGTCGAGCAGAAGCGGCTGTTCACAGTGGTATGATTCGTGCCGCCCAGTGGTGTATGAAGGTTCGGGGCCGGATTGCAGCGACCGAGCGGAGAGTTGCGCTGACTTCGCTTCTTGGGCATCGAGGCAGGGGAATGACATGGCTGGATTGGAGGAGTCTCTCTCACTTGACTCTGCGGTGGCTGATGCTGACTTTCGCGGCGACACAGTATGCAATGGGTGTGCGGTCTTCCATGGCGCCGATAAAGTCCGATGCGACCCCGCGGTGTTCACAGGGGAGTTGGCTTGTCGCCATGGCTGGGTTCGAATTGTGCGTGAAGCAGCTCGGGCGGCGCCTCGAAACGACTGCATTATAAGAGCGTAGGATCTGTGAGAGTCAGGAAGGAAAGAAAGCTTCCTAGGTTGAAAGCTACCGGTGGGAGAATATGTAGACACCTCAGGCACTAAGCAGTCGCGTCATCACCGACATCGGTGATTGGTGGAGAGTTCAGCGTTGAAGTATGCAATGTCAATGTACAACATACGATAGATATTATTTGCAACTTTGTCTGACAAGGCTGTCTTATATATGTGGAATTGATTAGCCTCGGAGTACCAAAAGAGCAGGTTAATTTGTATCCTCGCCTTCTACCTTCTATGGAGAATGGCTAGTTTATGGTGCTAGAGGCTACCGAAGAAATCAAGTAAATCCAGTGTTCGAAGGGCTAATAAACAAGGAATGGAGGGTGGAAGCATGCAAAGTTCGGCTTTTGATAGATCCTGAAAAAGTAGCTATAGCTGAGGTCCCTAGAGGATTCTCATACAAACGGTTAGCAAAAATGAGGAAATCCAAAACGCCCAGCGCGAGATGCAAAAAAATTCAAAACATAAAAGTCGTGAAGAATATATCATAGTAAATCCTGCTTGCTCAAAGGTATCGCAATCCGCTATTCCTAGTCCGGCTCACGAGTGTTCCCGTAGTTTTCGTAGAATTCGACGCCTGGCCAAGCACGAGTTTCGACATAACAATCGTGTTGTTATTAGATCGAATATCAATAGCAGCAGACCACATACACCGGAATATACCGCAATTGGCATGGAAAACAATCTTGCTCCCATCAGTCGAAACCGTCGCACCACCAGGCGCCTCGAGCCCCCAATCACCAGTCTGCAGCAAAGGCCGATCAGCCCGGATGTACGGACCCTTGGGGGTTTTCGAGTGTGCGTATTTCACATTGTAGCCCAGCGAGACATAGCAATGCGAAGAAAAGAACAGATAGTAGGTGCCGTCCTCGGTGAGCAAGATATCAGGAGCCTCAACCAGGGGACCATCTGTATCGTCAATATCGAGAATTTTCACTGGCTCCCCGACGGATGTGATACCATCGCTCTTCAGCTCCTGTAGGAGAATCGGAACGGATACAACTGGCTTCTTGCTGTTGTTGCAGTTGCCGCCGCGTCCAACGCTGTTTCCGTCGCCCTTGTAGACCACGTACAGCGTGCCGTCGGTGTCCCTGAACGGTGAGGGGTCGATAGCACCGCCATGCTTGTGTGGACAGGCTAGTGGCTTGTCTTCGGGGATGTAAGGGCCTAGTGGGCTCGTGCCGGTTGATACAGCAACTCCCACGCAATGGTGGCTCCCGTAATTCTCGGCTTCTCCTGAGTAATACATGACAAATTTGCCGTCGTCCTAAAAGTTCATATATGAATATCAGAGACTGGATAGGAGCTAATGCTCATTGGTATACTTACGCGCTGAATCACATCCGGAGCCCAATGATTGACCTTCTTCTCCCAAGTGCCAAGAGTCGGCATCGCGTCGTAATCCTCGTGAAGAGTCCAGTTAATAAAATCGGTCGATGTGGCAACGGGTACATGGATAGTGTGGGGGTTCTTTTTCTTGGGATTGGTCCCGTAGGCATACCATGTGCCATTGTGTTGAATGAGGCCCGGGTCCGGGAAATTGACGAGGGCGAAGACAGGTCGATTCTCCTCGAGGTAGTAGCTGTGGTCTTCATTTGGCTGGGGTAGTCTCCAGTAGTTATCAGTGTCTTTCGCAAAGCCGTAGATCTTAGTGAAATAAATGGGGAGGACAATGACGAGTGCTGTTAAGGCCAATCCGAAGAACCCCAGAACGCAGAGTATCCCAATCTGACGTCGTCCCCATGGTCGAGTAAAAAAGTTTTTTTTTTCTCCCTTTTCTGCTCTGGCTCCCACTGTCGAATCCAAGGAAGATTTAATGCTGCTGCCTGGGATTTCACTAACTACGATGGACTGGACGACAGCGGGAACCACGTATTTTTCAGGTACAGCAGTCGCCATTATTTCTTTTCCGTGATTCCAGTGAAATCAAGGCAAGCTGGCGCTGGGATTTCTTGTGCAGAAAGACACCGTTGGCTTGAATCAAGATTGCTTAGTGGTTGAGGCTCTGGGTAAGAGCAGGAAGGTCAAGAAAGTCGGGCTATTCCATAGTGAATGACTTCCACTGCAATTGGTTTGAAATTGGGTATGGAGGTTAAGAGACAAGCGAGAGAAAGATATTTATGGACTTCTGGACCTCGGGAGTCTACAGGGCTTATCTTATCCAGCATGCCATTCAACCTTGGAAGAGGTGATAAATGGCCCAAATGATGTGAAAACGGGAAGAATAAGCCGAGACACAACTTTGGAAGCGGCAGACTGATTGGCTGTAATTCAGACGAGGAGTAATCAGAAGATGATTGGCTCTTTTAGAATAGGCGCTATAAAGGAAAATCGCGCAAAAGTTGCTAGTCTTTGTACATCGCAGTCGCCACAGGGACAATGCTGTACTTTTCCCTCTGAGCCCTCGCTCCACACACATTTCTATGATATTTTTGCCGACCCAATAAAAACACATAAGGTGTAGTTAGTGTGGCCTTAAGCAATGCATCTCAGATGAGTCGCCCGAAGGTAACATTCCACCATCGATTCATTCACAAATCGTATCTCATATTAAGTTAAGAATTCTTCAGCCGCATGAAAGCGTCGAGGATCATCTCCTTCAAGCATGACAGGTAAGTCCCGGCTCCTCTTTGATGCTGAGGATTATTTTTATCGTAAGAACCTAGATAAAGGCCCATAATTTCTGCTTATCCGCCAGTCCTGTCTTGTTCAACCTCTGCCCTCATCCGCAGGAGTAACAATGTAGCCCCTACATAAAACCAGCAGTTCCGCACTTCATGATTTAACAGATCGAGCACTTCATTTGCTAAGACAGGTTATCCTCTCTAGCAGCCCAGTGCGGTATCTCCATGTAGGAGGCCTATAATATGTGGGGGGTACTATCTCTTATATCCCGAGGTCGTTGTTCAATCTCAAAACAGTTTCAAGCCTTATTGCTTATCTTATGTTGGCCCGTTTGAGTAAGTGGGGCGTCAAAGTGGGGCGGGCTAGACCCTTGGTCTTTCCCCACAAGTCATGACCTAGGGCTATCACGTGCCAGAGATGCTATGTTGTAGAAATTGCTCGACAGTTTGTTTGACAATTTGCTACTTTAAATAATTTGTAGATGTATATTTACTGAGGACTACCACTTCTTGCTCCTCTCTTGCCTATATCTGTTCTTTTGAATGAAGTACCCTCTGTAGATCTGGTTTGTCATACCTCCTTTTGGATCGATTGTCCTCTCGATTTCCTCTGCCTTTCATTTGATGGAACAATACGGCGTGCACGTACCAAGTATGTATGCTGCTAGTTTTATTTTATACAGTTCTCTCTATTTTATTCTCCTCCTATAGAAGCCTACGAGGATATCCCACATGAACTCGATAGTCCGTGATTATGTCTCCCAGCTCAACCCCTTGGACTACCGAGCATGATTTCCTGGAAAGATGTAATAGTCAAATCTCCGATTGTTTCTATCGGACTCAATGGGATGAGCTCTGCCGAATTACTTTGGGTTTGCTGGCCATTTGGAATGCGTGGTTTTAGACCAGGTCGCAACTTGCAAGCAGGCTCAATAATATTGTCCGTGTACTAAATTTTGCGACGAGACTCACTGGGTAGCCCGGGTTCAGATTCGAAGGAATACCTCTTACGTCGTTAGCAGCTCCCAACTCGAATCCGAAGTTGTAGCAATAAAACTCATCAAGGAGCATTCCCAGTTACCAATGCCTCGAGTTTTTGCGTATGAGATTGACGAGAATAATCCTGTGGGATCTGCCTTTATAGTTATGGGGCTGCTCTCTGGCTGCATCGCCACACGTTTACGACTTCAATTGTGATACAGAGCACCGATAAGCCTTCTATCGCACCGTCGCAAACTGTCATGTTAGTCGACCTATAGGGCCGGCTGGTGCCTAGCTTACCTCTCAATATAGGTCTAGTTAACTTCTTTACGACTCCCGAAAATTGGGATGATTTTTCGGAACCGAGAGGGTGGATACGAGTGTAGACCCTTACCCGGAATTGGCGGTACATTCGATAACACAGCAACCGCATTTTTCGAGACGTGGGCCGATAGCGTTAAGTTTAAGTGGGATAAAGAAACGATCATATATATGATACAGAGAGGGCCGATCTCAGCGAAATAGATGATTACGATTATCGAGAACTTCCTATTGCAGATCAAAGCGATAGCTAGCCGGCTATCTATGTGCAACAAAGGGCCATTCCCTCTAGTCCATGATGACTTTCTATATAGTAAGATTATAGACCATGGTAGATGAAAACAGCTTCGATATAACGGGAATCATCGACTGGGAAGGCGCATTTACGGCTCTCTGCAAACTTATTTCGTTCCCCAGCTTCCTCGCTACCATACCTGCCTCTTTTGACTTACCTAGGAAATACGACCAAGATGGACAGCCGTTAGATGAGAGACTACGAGAAAGGTGGCGCCAGCGAGGAGAGTATCTTGAAATGGTAAGATCAGTCGAGCATGAAGAATCAAATCACCTGCTCTCGGCTGGCCTCGGCAGCGAGAGGGACCATGGCTTATCTGTACTGGGCATACGGTGGTTTTGGAAAGCTGGGTTTCTATCATCGAATTATAGAACAATTGAGATGAATAATAAAGCTTGAATCAAAAAAAGAGCATTGCTAGTTGAACTGGATAGCGTCTATGTTGCTAACTCACAATCCGTTGCGTCTACCTAACGAGACTTCCAAAGCGGATTTCTATATAACATACTAGTCTTGATGTTTATAAAGCTGCTAGATCAGGTTTATTCTTTCCCGAGGTCTGCTACGCTTATCTATCAAGCTTTTGCGGCTGATTAGTCCCACATGGCAGTGTGGATCATGTTCCACAACAGCTGACGGCCTTGATTCGCTATCCAAACGGCTTTGTCTAGATCACAAGTTATTTAGTTTACGTGGGAAAAACGGATTTTTCTGATCAGAAGAATGAGATATGAATATCGGACAAGATATATAGTTGATGGTTGACAGCCAGAGGTGTAATTGCCATGAAGTGATCACCGTATGCTCACTCGGAAATTCTATGCTGTTATGGTTGGGAATTTGACTTTTTACGCATGATTTTAAGTGTTAGGAAAGAATATAAGACCAATTGATAGCCTTTAGTAAACTCAATGCTTCAACAGTATTCATGTTGCTTGTGATGCATTTTCTTTGGTATTTGAACACAGCACTTGGCTGGCTTGGTATCAAGGACCATGCTGTTTGTGTATCGCTTCGACATATCCAAGGACATAATCTTTCCACTATGAGTTTATACTATCGTAATTCATTTCGTAGGTTGAGCGAACCGATTGGGAAATAGAGAGAAACCAAATCCATTTTGTGCCCTTTATCCTTTACCCAGCATCTGGCCTCCAGGCGTCCGAGTACGGTCAGACATTCCGTTTCCGTGATGTGTAAGGCTTGTCATGGGAGTAAATTTCAGGTCGCAGAAAGGGAATGTAGAATAACAGACATGGCATCATTTGATGATGGGAATTTGGAGTCGTTTGTGGTGTAGTGTGGTCTAATAGCCGACCTCGCAGACCAACCAGGGCGTAATTGTCGTAATCCTTGTTTAAGCATTTTCATGAAACTCTTGTCTCGGAACGGACGAATGATTCTTTTTTTGCTCTCTTTCTGGTCTTCCTTTCGACCTCTTTTGTTCTTTGGATGTGGATTACATCCTCTTCTTCTTTTTTGATGTCATTTGGATTAGCTGGATCTGAGATATCGAATGTGCCAGGTGGCTGGTTAAGGGTGATCTCAGCTTGAAGTCGCTCTGCGAGACTATCAAGAGGTCTGAATAGGACCTTTTTGTGTTTGATGGTCGGCCAGTCTATGTGCTTTCTGGCAGTATTTGGGTTGTCAAGCATTCCGAGAAGCTCAGAAGTTATGTGAGCTTCAAAAATATGGAAGAATTTATCGCCCGGCTTGGTTGTCAAAATCAGACGCGACTTGTATAAATGAGCCAGGCATCCAAGGAAGAAAAACGGCAGGAGTAGCAGAGTACTTACTATGTGGATGGGCGGGTGCCACTCTTTTCGATGGTACTCCTGGAGCTGTGCAAGGGACAACAGAACACACAGCAGATACGGATCCTCGCTCCAGTTCTTTGGTGTGATCTGGGCTACTCGTTTCATCTGAATTCTCCACCCGGGGCGGTTGTCACCGCCATGTTTGGGCGTACGAGGGATAAACATTTCCCCGCGGTAACGTTCTACGCGGCAATAATCCAAATATCCAACGATTGGCCGCGGTGCTTGGCTAGCTGGCTGGCTGAGTTTACGGCAGCGATAGAACACTTCATACAGAGGCCGATGAATTCTCTTATTTGCAAAAAAAAAATACGGTGTTTCACTGTGAACAATGTTTAGTTATGGCGGAATGAATCAATGACACGAACGGCTTTTATTGCTCACCATCTTCGGTTAAGCAAGGGCCATATGAGAAATGAGAGGCCGAACGGCCGGCTTAGTATAGAGGAGCCTTCAAAGAGTTCCTCGGGAGTTCCGCGACTCCGTTCTTCCAACTTCTGTTCGTGATCAATTGGTTGGCATGGATCTAAATCAGGTTCGATGTCGTCTGGTGGCACATGGTCAAAGTGTTCAAATTGACATCCCAGCATATCCAAATGACGAGAAGTCCAGCATATTGGTTGAACCAAGAGATCACGATGATGGCTCATGAGCTCAGCAAGCGAAATTGCGCCAGCTGTCATACTGAAGATACTTGTAAAGATGAGGTTAAGGAACTGGGAATACAAGGGAGTCTAAAACGGGTCTTGACCGCCTTTGAGTGTTGATCCGGAAGAAAGTTCACCCGTCCTATACTGACCTCCAGCCTAGTCAAGTCCCTGAACTAGCAAAATCCAGATCTAAGGGGAGGTACAGCTAATTTGATGTTTCCAGTCGATCATCCAAAGTGCAAATCAGTTGAACTATTGGTGGATTTTTGCTTCACATCCATATTTCAGAATTAGCAATGATCCCCTTACATTAAATTGGGCTGAAATTGGGTCCTAGAAGCGTATTATGACCTAACAGCGCTAAATGTATGACTAGCTGGATGTTCCTGGCCATTGGCGAGGATAAGTGTGATCGAATGTCACTGTCCGGCATGACGGGGCTCGGCGCTTAGGGAAAGCACGATCCACTCTCAGACCACGGGAGCTGTCAGGGGCCAACTAAGCTAGCTCATGTTTCTAATAAAGGATTTTCACGAGCCTTTGGCCTAGAATAATACATATGGTAGGGATAATACATGTATATGGTTGGCCAGCCACGTGCCTATTAATACTAACCCAACAAACCGATTGGACCTCTGCAGTTGTACTCCAAGCCAGCAGTTTCAAAATGAGGGGCCTGGCGGTTATACAGGCATTCATCACCAACACTCTGTTTCATGGTCATGTGGTGGAAAGGCAAACATTTGCAGAAGAGGTGGTATAAAAAGGCACTGCCTGCCCAAGTTCATTCTTATCATCACAGATCCTCTCTCCTTTTCAATTTTGTTCTTCAACATGTCTCCCCATTATTTCGACACTTTCACCTCTGTCATTCAGTTCAAGGGAAGAAATCAGAAGTACCCTTCCGAACTCAAAATGTCTGCCGCGAGTGGATGGGGACGGGACCATCTACTTGCCTGTCGTGTTATAATACGACCACAAAGGCCCAATATTCTTCCAATTTTGTCCCAACACTTTAAATATTCCGATACTACGTCTTCGGTGGATATCACGAAGTTCCTCGGAGGCCCTGATAGCAATACGCATTTCCAGAAAAGCGAGCACAGTCTTGTGCGAGACTTTGGGTATAGCATTTCGCTCGCTCAAACGTGGTCAGCATTGGGAGCATTCAAGGGTGATCGTGACGCTAAGAGGACAGGATATGCAATTGCCCCCGGCAATTCCGAACATTCCGATACCGAATCTGATGGCGCGGATTCTGATGTTCCAATGGCTACTGAATTCGACGGTGGCCGCATCACTAGGGCTAAGGGGAGAGGGGCGCGTGAAGAATCATCTGAACCAACCGTCCCCTTCTGAATGCGTCCCCTCTGGGACAATTCAAGTTGCTTCTAGCAGTCCCCGGGCTCCGAGCTCTAGCGATGCGTCATCGGCTGGATACATTGAAAAAGAGGAACACCAACTCCGAGGTACGGTCGAAGATGAGACCGTGCGCCTTGCATCATGCGTCATTCGACATATTCTATATTTCGGGGCACCCCAAGACCAGCCCAATATGTCGAGTGTTGTTGAGTTTCGGGACATCAAGTTACGAACCCGGACAGTCCTAAGAGGAATTAGCTCGATTACTGCCATTGATGACGGAGGTCTTTGCTCACGCGATGAGAATAATGCCAAGGAATTTATACTCCAAAACGATCATGTGGCAATTCTGGAAGCCAAGAGAAAATTCCAATGTTTTGAGGAGGGTAAACCGATCATCTCAGACGCGTGTCTAGCCCAGATGACATGCGAGGCTCTGTTGGCTCGGTTTGTTGACGTGCAGCGTGAGACCGTCATAGTCATTCATGCTACGCAGCACTACCTTCGCTTTCTCCAATTTGAGATTAGCGATGAGTATGTTAAGGATTTTGGTTTGGATTCGCTAGACTCATTCATTCCTGTGGTGGCCACTCCCTGGTACGACCTTAGCAATGAGTCCAATAGGAAAGAAGTGGTCCTCAATCTATGTGCCATCATGCGTCGGGGATGATGTTCCTTTTGGATTGATCTTGTCTTACTTTCATTTTGCTTTCACTTTGCGTTCACGTTCGCGTTCGCGTATTAGTCTTATTTATCATAAAAACCATATTATCTTGCAACAAAAATCCATTCCTTAAGGTTGAGAATAAATGCTTTGACGCGAGACCTAAGCTTCTAGGGATCAAGCGGAGTAAATCCTCTTAATAGTATTAGAGGCTATTTCTACCACGAAGATCATCACGGACAAAGAGAGAATCTCCCCCTTGGCTAATTAAATTTTCCGATGATCCTATATTGTATGATATAAAATAGGATTTTTAACGGAGCCAAGATTATTGTTCACTACGGAGTAGAGATACTCCATTGCTAATAGGGATAAAGATCTAGAGCATAACGAGAAGGTATCGGCCGGCAAGCCTCTCACCGGCATCTCTAACAATATTCTTTATAGTTGCATTTCTCTAGGGTACTATTTTGGTGCCTTTGACCCGTTTTCCTCTTACGTCTCCTAGTCCGCAATGCGAAAAGTGGAGACAAAATATGACAAAAGCCTATGCCTACGTAGTCCTATCAAAAGAACAAGTATTCTCGTAATAGTAGTACATGGCCCTTCCTACATGGTTATTGAATACTTGTTAATCACCTAAAAGTAAAGAGCCCAAAAATCCCTAAAGTTTGGCAGATCTGATGTTTTCGGTAAAAGGATGCTCTTTGCTCTGCGATATATTGTACAGGGTTCCATATTAGATTTCTAAACCAAGCGAAGCTTATATCACTATCGGAGTTTATAGTGAATCTATGCTAAACTACTTATATATATTGGATACGAGGCTAGACAATTTTAGCATTGTAGTTTTACGCAGTTTAGTTAAGAAACTAAAGATCAAGACTATTCTGAATCGAGCACCTTATGTGGGGGCGCTCTAACAAAACCAAGTGATTATGCAGTAGGATCATTGCTTGTTAATAGCATAGAGATATGCAAAATTTTTTTTTGCAAAAGACAGAACAAAGAATAAATGAAGAACAAACAATATCAAAGACGGCGGTTTGAAGTTACATTTCTAAGACCACGTGAGTGGCTCCACCCAGGCTAGAAGCTGCTTCCGGCATACGCAATCCTTATTCTACTCGTGGACGTCTAATAAAATTAGCCAACAAGGCGAGAAATTACCCGCTGCTAGACAGCGTGGCCTGCTCTTCGATTCAATTTATCCTTGCTGTTCTGCGGTACTAGTCACCCTCAATTATTATTGGTTTTTCACGCCTCCTATCCCGATTTTGGGTTGACCGTATCTCCGACCATCGAGGTCACATCCAAGACTTCCGCATATCGACATGTCACCCTCTCAATTTCTTTAGCCTAGGATTTGGAATCGCTCGACTGTCACACCCGCCGAAGGAAACGCATAACAAGAATCAAATTCACCAATCCCGCGGATCACAGAAGATAAAAGCACAGAGGCCTTGACTTGATTCCTATCTTTCAGCCTATTTACGGCTGTCGCAAGACCAGGGAATTATTTCCCGACTGCGCCGGCTCCATCGCCTGTCATGATTACCCCGCGCAAGGTGCTGCTTGCCCTGTTCTGCGTGGTCACATTTGTTCTCATCCTCCGCTCGTTCCGAGATCCTGAAGTTCCCGGGGCACCTGGGTATAGACCGGTGAAGAAGATATCGCAGGAAGAGGATGAGGCGATAGCAAACTTAGCACGAAAAATACCACCGCAAGGTCGCGCCCAATTACCCCTCGGCGCATCACGGACAACACCCCTTCGCGAACGTCTCCGGTATCAATTCCCCTATGAAATCGAAAACAGATTCCCCGCATACATCTGGCAAACATGGAAATACAGCCCGGGATCGTTCTGGTTTGACGAAGACCTTCGCGGCCCCGAGGCCAGCTGGACAGAGATGCACCCCGGGTTCACGCATGAAGTCATTCCTGATGACACACAACAACATCTGATCAAATATCTATATGGATCAGTCCCGGAGGTATTTGAGGCATATGATTCGCTGCCGCTCGGTGTTATGAAGGCGGATTTCTTCCGATACTTGGTCCTTCTAGCGCGCGGGGGAATATACAGCGATATTGACACTTCGGCGCTCAAGCCCGCGCACACGTGGCTCCCCGAGGAACTCGATCGATCAACTATCGGCTTCATTGTTGGCATCGAAGCTGATCCTGACCGTGATGACTGGCACGACTGGTATTCGCGCCGTCTTCAGTTCTGCCAGTGGACCTTTGTGTCTAAACCCGGGCATCCGATTCTTCGTGATATGGTGGCTTATATTACCGAGCATGCTCTGCGAATGAAAAAGGCAGGCATCCTAAAGGTTGGTAAGATGGATAAGACCATTATGGAGTTCACAGGGCCTGGAGCCTGGACGGATTCTATTTTCCGCTACTTCAACAACCCGGCATACTTCAATATCCAGCCTGGTGATAAGAACATCACCTACGAAGACTTCAGCCATCAAACCACGCACCGCAAGGTTGGGGATGTGGTTGTTCTCCCCATTACCAGCTTCAGCCCTGGAGTGGGGCAAATGGGTGCGGGGGATACAGATGATCCCATGGCTTTTGTGAAGCACAATTTCGGAGGTACGTCTTTATTTTTGACACGTTCGTGTAGTTTCACATGGACATAGTACTAACATTTTTTAGGCACATGGAAGACAGACCCATCGCTATGAAAAATGCCCAAAGCTTATTCTATTCCATTCCAACATTGTACACTGTATAGTATCGGAGACCTATCGCAGGCCCTTGCTCGCAGTTCATCTCAATATTTGCTCCGATTTAATCATCCACGCCTCCCTTCTAGATTTTCCGGTTGTTTCTACTCCAGTCACAAAACTCTCAAATCGGCATCGAACTGTCATCATCGGTGCCTTGGATATGACCGAACCCAGGCGCAAGCTCTAAACCCGTTCCATGTTTCATGATATCTGTTCATATGATTCCCCAACTTTGTTTTTCATTGTTATGTACACTGTTATTTTGCTTTTTTTTTTTTCTCGGTAAATGGTTTGCTACTACTAGCTATACTAGCTGCTTATAGATTCCAATCTCATTGTTGTGATAGCCAAAAGGCAACTTTTCGAGAATTTCCCATTGCCTATGAATGGGGCTTGTTACACACGACTAATTTGCAACAGTGCATGTCTAATCCGAGTACTAGATAACACGTATTTGGTATCGGGCATATGTACTTCTATTTCCCATTCAAAAGCATGCTTTCCAAGTTCCCTATTACCAACCAAAATCAAACTGCGCCAGACTTAACAGTAAACTCCGAAGTTACATATACTTTTAAGTTCTCCGCCTCTGATAATATATGCTCCTCGCTATCCCCATCATTCGTTTGCGCGCCGGATCGAATCTCAGTGATCTGCTGGCCCTCGGACTCATATATAGGTTCGAAATTGCTATTTCCATGCCCAGGCCCCGTCCCCGTCCCCGTCCCCGTGTCCTGGCGAACAGAGCCAAGCGCATAAGTCCTTGAAGTTTCGCGATTTCGGTATGAATTAACAGTGGAAGCGAATGACTTGAACAGAGGTCCGTACGTGGGAATGCAGGCGATGATAACCTACACGTTTTCGTTTTGTTAGTCTTTCCTTGGACTTGCAGAAATATCACAAATCAACTCACGCCCAGACTGTTCTCGACACAAGACCAGATCACGATATTCTTGCTGTCGGTGTAGGTCTTCAAGTCCCAGACGGTGAGGATGCGGATGATCTGGATCACGGTCACAAAGAAGCCGAGAGCAAACAGGCAGGCTAGGAGGACTTTTTGCTTGAGGTGGAGCTGGAGTTTCCAAAGGACTGGCAGAGGTAGTGCTATGATTATCAGGTCCAGCACAATACTTGTGCCCCCGAGGGCAAAGTAGAACGGTATTGTTTGGATGCAATGCCCCTTGAGAGAAGTATCCCATTGTTTTGCGACCTGTTTGTTGTCAGATAACCCGTTTCCTGTGAGTGGCGCGTAATGTTGGGGAGCTGCTAACCGGTATGCAGGAGATTGATATGATAAAGGCGAAAATCAATTGGTTAACGACACACACGACAATAGTGGCAATTATGATTTTACGATATCGCTCGATAATCCCCGCGATGCGCAGATAGGAGGCCAACAAGGCGACTTTGAAGCCGAGGACAGCGAGACAATAGGTCGGGCCGCCAGCGTATTGGATCTATAGACCAAACAAAGTTAGCGTCGGGCTCGAGTTCGAACAATGTTGACCTTGCGATGCGTACCCTGCTAAATGGAATAACATTCTCTTTTGGAAAATACGCCGCGCTGAGTCCTTGGCCCCATCGCGTCTCTGAAATAACCATTTCGTCAGTTCGGCAGTTAACCTTCGCTGATCAATGAGAATCGACTCACGAGCCACGGCGATACCTGCGTATGCCAACGTCAACAGTGAGCCCGCCAGTGCCGCATAGTCGTCAATCCATGGAAAGCGACTGATGCGTATTCGCACATAAAACCGCAGACATACGGCTAGGAAAGCTGTAATTGAACACGCCAAGCAGATCCCGATCACGCGCGGAATCTCGCTGTTTGGATCGGTCTCGTGGAGGTTGTATACCCAGCCCATGACTTGATCATTGTCACGGCAAGGAGAGCTGATAGCCTCTGCAAAGGAGATATCATATTATTCATAATTGTGACGGAGTCCACGGGTATTTCGCAGTACAACGTACAAGATTTCTTGATTCGGGTGGGGCGGCGGGGCGGCGGGGGGCTTATATCGGCGCAATTAAGATGCAGCGCTAGCTTCACGAGCGTGGAAACGAGAGGATATGAATTAGAATTTGCCAATAAGAAGAATTTTCTGTTTTTTTTTCGGTCTTGG